GATTAAAAAGTTGAATGCAAACAATTTTTGTTTAAAATTAAATAAAACAAACATCAGTATTATCTTGTATAAAAAATAAATGTTACAGGATAACATTAATAAAACATGAATGGATCTAAATAACTTTATTGATTAATTAAAATAAGTTTGAAATTAAAGAGAAGAAATTTTAAGATTTTGCATGTTCAGTCGGCCTGCTATAACTTAAAAACTAAAGTTCTACTAATTAATTTATTGATTGATACACTGTACTAAAATCACTCACATTTTATCAGGATTATCACCAAAATTGATATTTAATAAGGCACAACCACATATAATTGCAACAGATCAACCAAATTCAAATCTCAACAATAAGATTAACAATATTAGGAACCATTATAAAACTTGAATATAGATATTGCTCATAATCCTACCAAAATATTCTTTTCAAATGATTTTTAGAATATTCTATAAATACAAAGTATACTGAACATTTAAATAATTTTTATTTCGCAACTTAAAAATAATGAATGAGTAATTAATTAATATGTATATATTAAACTCACAAGCTCATCAAGAACTGTCCAAGAACGAAGACTTCATTCAACTTTAATTATTATAATGAAATTATATTAATTCACAAGCTTAATAGATAAAAAATATATTTCAGTCATAAAAGATCATTTAATACTAAGAAATTAACCAACAAAAGCTGAAATTGATCTGAAGATTGACATGTTCCAATAATCCACATATCACGATAGTGATACAATTATTATTGAAGAGATATTGGTCCTTTTAACTACAAAGGAGTTATCTCAGATCTAATATCATTATTTACAACCTTATTAGCTTTTAAATTGTATTCTCAGTAGTCACATATGAAAAAAAAAATTGTTTACCTAATTGAATTATTTATATTATTATTATTATTTATTATATGCAATTATATTATATTATTATTATTTATTATATGCAAAATATAGAAACAAAAGTTGATATTAATCAAACATAATCTTTAAGAAAAACAAAATAGCTAATTAACTAATTGATTCGATACCCAAGCACATTTAATAAGGTTTGCATGGAGACCAATGGATGAAAAAAATATTCAGAAATAGCTCTAAATTTCTAAATCATTTGTATAAAAGCAAAAATTAATTTAGTTCCTCCATTCAAAGTGAATTGAAACAATTAATGATTTAGGGCTGGATCACTGCCAGATTCAAGGGAGGAGGGTTTTCGGACTGAAGCCTTCCCATCCAAAAAAATATAATTTTTTTTTTATTGGTTCATATTTATTTCTATGAGCGATTTCGAATAAATACTTAAACTATCACAACATATTCTCTTATTAAATTATAGCACATGTATGTCAGCTACTATACGTAACCATGCAAAAAATATATATAAAAAATGTAGTCTTTGATTTATTATTGTTCCTTTTAATTGACTTAACTAAAAAAAAATAATTCTGAATCCACTATTGGGTATAATAAGTTTTAAAAATAATGATATAAGATAATGGGTTGAAAGTGACACAACTTAATATCATGGATACCAACCACTAGAATTATAACACAACAATTTTTCATACCATTTAATTAATAAGAGAGAAAACTGAAGAGAACAAATTCTCTCTAATAGCAGTGAATAAAAGCTAACAATTCACTAATTCAGGCATTACCAGGTTGATAAATCAATAAAAAATTCACATAAATGTATAAAAGAATCACCAGCCTCATAGTATTAACTGGATAGAAATAGCAAACCCTAACAGTACTACTCAAACATAAATACATCAGCATAAGAGAACAAAACCAAAAAAATTGAATATAAAATCTTTGTCAAAAAAGTATATATGAAACATTAATAGAAATGCCTGAGGACAATGGGGAGGACCACCAAATCCATCTTTACAGTCAAGGCCATTTCCATAAAAAAGAAGATAGATGTCAGTATTGTACCAAAGCAGACCTCATAGGATGACTCAGAATCATCATAAGAGAAGTATCGAGAAAGGAAACAAGCTTGGGAGCCACAGACCAAAAATTCAAGACAATCATGCTTAAATGTCTAGATAATGGTGAGTTTTTTACCTTAAACTCCACTATCTTGACAAAATCTCTCTGTTATTCACCTAATCTGGCACTATTTGCCTTTTTTTTTATTCTAAAAAACAAGGTGATGCTTCAGAAAGTGGCATTGAGCCTGTCACATAAAAATGATAAAATAGCAGAACTTCAAAACAAAGAGCTTTCAAGGAGCCTTCCAGTAATGAAAATAGATGTGGCATAAGTTTAGTGTGGCTATGGAGAGTATTTTGAAGGAAATAATATTGAATTACCTGATTGAATTGAATTTTTTAAAAAAACTTTCACATGATATTATTGAATAAACCTCATATATTTTGATACTACAAGCACTTTAGGCAATATAAACTTCAAAAAATGTGACTCAGGTACATTTTAAAACTTTGTCTGTAAAATGATTTTAATTTAAACTAATTCTAATGATTTTTTTTTTCATTATTCAACTTGAACATTCTTAATTAAAAGGTTTCAATATATATATTCGTAGTCGGTAGTTTAAAAAAAATGTTTATTAGCAGATTTTCACAATTTCCCCTAAATTTCCTACTGATATCCCTTTGTGGTGTTCGTTTGACCGGGTTCAATGGAACTAATGAACGAATGTCCAGTATGAAAAAAATACATATATTACTAAAATGTAAAGAATTAAATCTTATTCAATTTAATATAATTTAAACCTGTACCACTACAACCCATGAAGGGTCTGGTGTTCAGTACTATTTAGGGAAAGCACTGTTTCTAGGTCAACGGTTGTGCAAGGAGGTGATTTGACCGAGATCACGCTCAACCACCAGATTTTTCTCCTTAATTAATTGCTTAATTAAGGGTACCCACATTACAGAGGCTGGGTGTGCCCCAGGAGGGACTCCTGACCAAAGGTCGCCCCACGGCCAATGAAACAGATAAATAAATTTCCTGCCATGAGCCGGGAGTTCAAACTCGGGACCTTTGTATTGGAAGCTCAGTGCCCTACCACAGAGCTACCCCGCTCCCAATATAATTTAAAGTAGATTAAAATTTACAAGGTAAATAAAGAATTTTTTTTCGCTTAATTTGAGGAGAGAAAGTTGACATTTGAAAAGAGTATGAGAGTGCTCTTAACATAAATAGACAAATTTTCAAAACATTCCAAGTAAAATTACTATAACTTAATCAATGTTGCATTGAACAGTAACTGAACAACAGATGATGTTCCTGTGAGATGATACTACTTCTGGTATTGTTATTTTAATTATATTTTGTTTTGTACTATCAAAATTATATGAAGTAATAATTTTGATGTAATGAAGCAATATTGTAGGGGTATTTCAGTTCCAGAAAATCAAATTAAAATTATAAATATAAATCACTAGAAAAGATTTCTTTCGATGAACTCTTATAAGGAACCCGTCATCAGAAATTCATCTATCCCTTTTTATTACTACTAAAAATATGACATGATTAATTATTTTAAATATACAAAATTAAAATTACTTTAAAGAAAGAAATTTTGCAAATTCGGCATTTAAGCCCTGTCAGACTAGTTTAAAAAGGGTATTCCATCTGCTAAAACTGGTTAATATCCAACTTTTAATATCTGAGTTTGATAAAAACGTTCCTCATCCCTGGCACATACCTACCTTAAATATGTAATTTCAGTTTCGTACGAATTTTCATTTTTGAGGTAGGCTGTTCACATACACACACAAGCACACATACCCACAAACAAACACACAGAGAGACCATCCATGACTTCATTAGTTGGTTTTAGGGAATTCCCTCAAATATATATTTCCGTTGGAAACTCGGACTTTTTCAAGATAGGAATACTTTCCCTTACTAAATACTTTATATATAGATATGCAAAAGTATAGGGGCATGTTGACCATGTGCACAGCATCGCGTTGTTCGCCTATCTGATGGAAGATTAATTCGATAAAATAATTGTGAGTCATCGGGAGGGCATTTAACTCTGGGATTAATCTCGCAGTCCTCTTACCCTGGCCTGGGAACACCCCGCATAGCCTAAAAGGTAACGAATGGGAAGACAAAAAAAAATTATATTTAGCATAGGAAATTGTTAAACATTAATGATAAATACTATTTTATTTATTAATTTTATAAGATTTTTTTTTTTAAATGTAGTTCTGAAAATTAATGGATGAACATTAATGATTCAAACATTAACTGTGATAAAAAGGAATCGACTTCGATTAATAAAAAAAAAAAATAATGGAAGTTTTATTGCCTTGATTTGCATAACTTTTTTTTCTGTAAAAGTATTAAAAACAACCATAAAAAGAAAAAGTAAAAATCGGCAGTTGTATAACAATACAATAGCCATGACTGCAAGTGAGTCCAACAAGACACACTAGGAAATTTCATTCTGTAATATTAATTATTGCATAATTAACACAAAGTGTTTGTAAATTTGGTATTTACTAAGAAAAAGTGTACACATATGTTAACTCTCACAAGAAAATTTTATCACCCAAAGTTTCAGATCTCCAGTGCTCCATATTTTGAAAGGCTGTAACAAACCAGATAGCTCAGAATATCTTTAACTTCATCAAAAATGAAAAGTCTATTTACAAAAATATTGCTTTCTCTCTATTCAAAATATTTTTGTTAATCGATAACACTGACCTACAAACATTAGAGCTCAATGAGATAATCATTGAATATAATAATCTGAGTAAAGAAGATCCAGATCAACAAACAACAAAACAAAAACTGCAGCCTACAACAATTTTATCAGCACAAAACTTGCAACGTACTCTCCATTACTGTTTTAAACCACAACATTAAAAATAATACCAACAAAATATTATGTGCTATTTTAAAGCATAATAAAACATATAAATGATTTCCTTAGTTCTAAATAAAATATTAATAACACTAAATATAAAAATTAATAAATTATTATTATTATTATTTAAATCTCACCCCTTCTCCCTTAAAGCCTCAAGTTGTTTAGCTGTAAGCCGTCGAGGTTCACCAGAAGTATCAATAGCCACAGCATCAAGCTCATCAAAAGATGGGGTCACAAAGAGGTCACGAAGAGAATTAGGTCGAGAACTGCAACGTCTTCCCAATGTGCTGCTCCCTTCTCCTGCTCCTAGTGACAAGTAAAATAATACAACATGCAAGTAAGGTAATATATATATATATATATATATATATATATATATATATATATATTACCTAGTAATATATGTATATATATATATATATATATATATATATATATATATATATATATATATATATTACCTAGTAATATATGTATATATATATATATATATATATATATGTGTTTATGCGTGTGTATGAATAAATACAAATATCTATGCTGATATAATGAGAGTATACAGTCCAGGGGCTAGCACATAAAAAGTTAACTTATCAATATCAAACTAAAACTTTAAAGAGAGCATCTAAAAGTCGAGTTATTTCAGGAAAAGAAGGCTGTATTATTTCCCAATATTGGTGAATCAAGCACACATGAAGTTACCAACGACAATAGCACCAGAATGTTCAACTTCATCTTGCTATTTTATGTTCAAACACGGGATAGGATGTTATACCAGTAACCAAATCCTAATCAGTGCAATACAGATCCCAATCTGATGAGTGCAGGTCACAGAAGTGTAAATATTAGCTCAGACCATTTACCTTGTAATTTTAGAATATAAAAAAGAATCTCTATTGTAAGAAGTCGGCGGGAAGAGTGCCCCAAGAACTTTTCTCTCTAGAAGCTCAAGAATCCAGAGATTTCTGAGTAGTTTTCCATGAGTGCAGACAACGAACGAAGGGCTTTACACATTAAGAACATCAACCAAACATATGATTTATTTATGTAAAGAAACCATGCTGAAAGTCACCAACGAAATCTTGGGTGATGTTGAGGCCATAAGGAGTGCACTCCAATTCGATGCTGGGTGACAAATTGTGATAGACACCAAAAATAATGGGTACAAGCAAATGCTTTAAAGAAGACTTATTCAAAATTCAATTATTTGTTCAGATAATAAGGAAGCATAGAGAACAAACTTCACATGAAAAAGAAAAGAAGATGGTACCTTGAGCAGGTAGCTCAAATAGAGCACAGCTGAGGAGCTTTCTGCTCAAATAAGCTAGTTAATATTTAATTATTTGAATCTATTATTGTGACTAAAGTTATTAAAGATTTAAATTTATTCAGGAAGCAGCACAGTGATTGCACGATAAAATAAAATTAAAAGTGAGACTTTTTTCATTATTACACTTTTACAAAGCTAAAATTATCGTTTTATGTTAATTTTATATTATAGCTTTAAATATTTTTTACCCACTTTCATCACTACTTAAGGGATATGTTGTTGGTTTGTATGACACCAAAATAGAGTCAAACAAACAGTCATAATTTTAGTTTTGATTTTGTTTTGATAACAGCAAAAATACCTAAGTTGAATCAGAAAGATTTTGTAGAGGACGACTCTTACTAGGCAGAAACATGTACATTACAAATAATAAAACCAGTTAAGTCTGTCATTAAATTCGTGCCATACAATGCTATCATAAATAGGTATTAACAGTATAAGTTTCATAATATTATATAGTTAAAAAAGATTTAACTTCATATTCATAAGTTAACTTTTTTCACAGGCTCTCAGAGTAATACCTAAAAATATACACAGTAAACTCTTGCTAAATAAAAACATTAATGGGTTATAAAAGGAAAAATCATGACACAGTCTAAAATAAAAAAAAAACAGAAAAAAGGAAACAAAAAGTTTATAAGTAAAATAAAAAATCTATCTTACAAAGGTAGTTACAGACGTGGGGTCACCAATTTCAATGACATTTTTTTTGGTGATACTAGGTTGAAAAATATTTTACCCATGTCCGAGGGTTCTTGCCAATACACCCTAGGAACCGAGAAAAAAAAAAAAAAAATTATACATTAATATTTTCTCTGTATGAATTTTTAAGTTATTATATTGTAATAACCTTTATTGAAAGTGAGTAAAAAGGTTTAAATAAATTAATTTTGAACAATTAAAAGGCAAGCTAATCTAGTACTACTAGTGCAGGGAAAAGAAAATGGCTGCTCTGTAGTTTCCCAAGAAGGAAAATCCCAAAGATGAGAGGGACAAAGGTTTTTGTTTTGGCAAGCAGTTGTTGTGTGACTGCAGTGAAGAGAGGATAGGAGAAGTGATCCTGACTCCAGTGGGAAAAACCCAGTAATATGGTTACCAATTTGGAAGAGTTGTTTGGCAGAACTTTGGAAAGTGTTTGAAGGCAAATGAGTTTAGTGTCACAAAGGAAGAAACATATAGTATAGAAAAAGGTAAGCTTGCCAATCCATATTTGACTTTATTTTAAAATTAATCAGTGTTTAATTTTAATATAAATTGTGTAAATAATAATAGTTTGTCTGAGTTTATCTGATTGTCAGTAACCCATACCTGAGATAAATAAATATATTAATTCTCTTATAATTTTGTTTATTATTACAGAACCTTTGATTTATTTAGGAAGTATCCCAATGGTAAGAAGTGAGCTTCCGAGGTTGTATTATTATTATTTGTAAAATATAAGTGAGATGTTACAATATATCATTGAATTTGTTTTTTTTATGTAAAATAAGAAAGCAATATTACTAATTGTGTTACACGAATTCTAATGTACAATAAATTACAAAAACTCAAAGACGCTTCCAGTAAAATAGGTCAAGTAAATTTTTTTCATAAAAAAATTGTTCAGATTAGTTTTTTAGGGTCCACTAAAGCCCTTAAATACGAGTTTTTTCGAAATCAGAAAATATAAATTTTTGGACTTAATAAACATAGAAGGATTTCGTAAGAACTATTAATAGAAGGCAGAACATTGAGCAAATATTTTATATTTTTCGAGTGAAACAAAAAGTTTTATTGAAGATATGTAGAAGCACAAATAACGAATATCAAATATGCAAATAGTGTATAATATGTACAATGAATGCTTTATTCTTATTGTCGGATCAAATCTCGATAAAATAACAGATTTTGTGAATTCAATCTTACTTTCGATACCCGTCCGGTTTAGAAAAACATATATATTTAGCATACAGCTATAGAATGAGTATAATATTGAAATAATTAGTACTGACCTATGAAGTAAAGTGGATTCAAATATTTTTTTAAGGAGAAACAAAGTTGGGCTTTGTATTTCGCACCTCGAAAAATAAAAATTTTGTATCCCAGAAAACAGAAAAGACTTATTTGCCAACCCAATACATTAGAATTCGTGTAACACAATTAACAATATTGTTTTGTTATTTTACAGAAACAAACTAATCAATTGATATATGATAACTTAAAAATTCATGCAGGAAATAATATATATATTTTTTTTCTCGGCTCCTAGGGTGCATTGGTAAGGACACTCGGACATGGATCAAATTTTTTTCGACCTAGTATCACCTAAAAAAGTTTTATTGAAATCAGTGAACCCACGTCCGTAACCTCCTGTTGTTAGTAATTGTTCTGTAAACAGTATTCAATCGTACCTAAGTATTCAAATTTTATAATAAATAAAAATGATACCTCCTGTGATGTATGGGATATCTCCTGAAGAAGATAGAGGACCATTTGGATCAAGGGCGTTCACTGGCGATGGTAAAATAATAGGGAATGTTTTCCAGTGATACAAAAACTGTTCTCCTACCTGAAAGAAACCATTTTACAATTATAGGAAAATTCATTTCATGATTAATGACACCTATGTTATTATATTAGATGAAGACTTTCTGTTAAGGCATTGTTTACAGTTGTGATAAATAAAGTGTTAGGAACAGTTAAATATATTTTTTTTGTTCAATTTGCTTTATAAAATCAATATTTTTAGAACGAATATAAATGCATTGCTCATTTTAAAAAGGGGTTAACTCTTTTTGAATAATAATCAAACTGATTCATTCTTAATGTTAAACTAAGAGGAAAAATAATTACGGTTTTAAAATTATTTGACACTTAAAAATTTTATTATAAATGAAGTAAAAATTTTTGGGATATAGGGGTGTCAAGGAAAATAGATTTGCATTAACGTAAGAGAAAGTAGTGGGTGGCATTCAATAACATTAATACAGCAGCATCACTTATCACTAACTTTCATTCAAAATTGAGTCAAAACGAAAGAGCTATTTTTGAAATATATATCTAATAAAATTAATTTATGCATGCACAAACAAAAGAAGCAATGCGAATTGGACGTATATTGATATGGAAACATATGTAGGTACCAACCTGCTCTATCACAGAAAAAGTTCATAAAAAAGCAGATTAACAAGAGTAAAAGATTTGCTAATCACTTGAATTTAACTCCAGACAAACAACCAAATTTGTTTCAAATGTAAAGCCACACTTCACAAAATACAGGAAATGTGAATGTGTAAAAGGGGTGTTGTTCTCAAGGCAAGTGTTCGTTTCCCTCTGCTTGTGGTTGATCAATCTGCTGACTGTTTTCCAAGAGAAATCAAAGGGAGTTTGGCTAAGAGGTAGTATCATTTATATACATTTGTTTTCAGCTAGAGTTACTTAAAAGGTATTGTTGAATTTAATGGTTTCTGGTACTATCTAAATGAATTTTCTTCATTGACAAATTTTACACATTTTTCCATTTTCCATTCCTTCTTTTTGTTTCTTTTTAAAATTAGAATAAATTAAGGAAACTGTAATCAATGATACAATTTTCAACTTTGCCATGTTTGTTTATTTTTATTTGTGTGTGTGAAAGACTCCTGTTTGTAGTTTTTTTGTTTATATTTCTGGCGTTTTGGGAATATGTGAATCTGGCTTAAAAGGCGAGAGGAATTTTTTTGAAGAAAGAAAATACTGTAATAGTAGTAAAATATTGCATGAACACAAAAATTAATATTGATTATGAAATACAAATTTAAAGAAATGTTGGTTTATTCCTCAGTGCATATTTACGTTAAATTTTGTTTATTCTAAATAAATACAGATTTAAAAATAAAATATATGTAGCAATGATAAAAGTTAATTGTAATGACCTGTTTTATGTTTTGAACAAGTTGTACTATCTCCTCTGGGGCCCCTTTGAGTTGAACGTCAAACTTCAAAGGCTCTTTCTGAAAATTAATAAATCTATAATCATTATAATTTAATATAGTAAAACATATTTAATGTTAATTTATTTTTATACTTATGTTTTTTATTTACAAGCAAACATATTAAAGAACCATTTTATCAAAAAAAGATTACAAAAATAAAATTCTGAAGATAAAAAAGTGTTAATAACTTAAGTATAGTTTTTGCCAAGCCTTTTGTAAGGTCAGTCACATAATTTGGAATATTTTTTGTAGACTTAGAGGTCAGAAAAAATATAGAAAATCATTGCTAAAAGATGGATTATCAGCTAATAATTGTAAATCTAAAAACTATTTCAAAACTTATTCTCAATGAAAAATAAAAAAGTATTAGATCAAGAACTGAAAAGGAACATTATTTATTATTGCTTCTTGGCAGGGATTCTGAAGACCCTCTAGGTGAGGATAATGATGACTTTAACAGATAATCTGAGAGCATACAAACAAGGAATGGATCTGACAATAACCTCCGAAATTGGCCAAATTGAGAAAACAGTTTCCACCATCTAGACCCAATTAGCAACAATATAGTATAGCTGTGCCACGCAAGTTCTTATGGATGCTTTAAAGGCAAAATACGAAGTTTTGGCAAGGACGCTGACTCCTCAAACACTAGATGCAGTGGTCTGGAAAGTGCCGAGCATGTAGTAGCAACCTGTACCATGTTAGGACCATTAAGGAACACAATTTGGAGTAAGACCAGAATCTACATTTAGAATGCGAATGTGTTATCTCTTCTCATAAAAGATGAATACTACCAGAACTTTGAATACACTATATAGAAATAATTATTTATAGATGGAAGGGTATATATAGATGATGTGAGATACAGAAGTGGTGCACTAAATTTTAGGATCTCTTCATTGTGGTATGTGTTATGAAATCGATGAGCATTCTTGTTTTAGAAGAAGCCAAGAGTTGGCTAAAGGCGGAATTACAAGGCAGTGAGTAGTATCTGGAGAATGACCTGGCTGTTGCCTTAAAAGCAATCGTTAGTGCTTTTCATGCTTGCTCCAGTTTTTGCAGTCTTTTAAATTTGGTTTGGTCCCTAATCCTATGTTTATTGCTAAAATGTGTTTCACAACTTACAAATTAATTATTTTTTTAATGACAAATTAGAGGAAAAATATAACAAATTGACTGAATGACAGTTACCTAATTAGAGAAGTTTAAATATTATTGTACTGCAAACTTCTAATCTTCATTATTAACCAATATAAATTATTTAATAAAAAGTTCAATTTAGTACCCAACTGTATTATAAACTTCGCAGCATGTCTTTTTTAATTTCCTACCTATACTAAGTATTGCAATTGGGTCAAATTTCTTATATGCGGTTTTCAACGGATCTATACGTTTCAGAGCCTCCTGAGTCCGAAAAACACATTTTTAGCCATCAGTCTCTCTGTCTGTGCCAAGATTTTCTCGGGAACTACTAAACCGATTTTGTTGCTTCCTTTTTTATTTTGTAGGATTTTGACTACTGATACCTGTGACAGAAATTCGGTGCTCCATGCGCAATAGCTTGAGCGCAATAAATGAAAAACATGTTTTTCTATAGACTGTAACACGAAAACGGCCCCAACAATTTTGATGAAACTTTCCTATAATGTTCAAATAATTGTTCTTTCAATTTTCGTATATGGACTAATTCCAAGAAAATTCAGGAAAAAAAGTTATAAAGAAAAGAAAAATGTTATGGGTCTAACTCCTTAAGTATATATCATATGGTAAAATTTATAATAAAATTTTTGAAAGGTAATTAAATCACCAACAAAACAAAAAAATAACATCGGAATCGAACCAGTATTAGCGATGATACAGCTTATTCTGTTTTTTTACACATGTTATAACTTATTACTTTCCTACCTATACTAGGTAAGGAAAGTATTGCAATTGGGTCAAATTTCCTATATGCAGTTTTCGACCGATCAGAGCCCCCTGAGCCCGAAAAACACATTTTTAACCTGTTTTTTGAAAGGTAATGAAATTCGCTATAAAACTACATAAAAAATGTTCATTTTGGACAACTATTAACGAAGTTACAGCTATTCAATTTCCAATGTAAGATTACGGGTTCATATCCTGGTGTCAGAATGGGGTGAATGAAAGAAAAAATATGACTAAGTGAAAGTAAGAAAATCTGTTGCCCGCATCACACAAGCTTCACTATTTCCTCTACTTTTAACAGAAATTATTGTTTGACAATATTAAGCTATGGCAAAAAGTTTTTGATCAGCAATATTAGAGAGCATTGAAATTTTTAAAATGATCTACCCTAAGCCGGTTTATATTGCCTTAGTTTATCAAATACATTGTACTCAAATCTTTTCTTTGATCAATTTTCAGGAAAATAAATGTAGTTCAATTTTTTTTTGTTTCTTCATGAACATATGCAAAGATATAAAAACTTTTCTGAAATAGATAGGAAAGTCGTGTGATTGGATACACCAAATTTTTATATTGTAATAATTTTTAGTTTCTAATAATAATAAATATTTATCATTACTTCCTACACATAAGAATTTCTACAAAACAGAAAAAAAGAAAATTATTTAATCTAGGTATCATTAATTAATTCAAACAATAATCAATAATTTGGTTTTTTAAGTTGCATCTGTAAACTTTTTGAAAATCTGCAGAGCTCCAAATTTATACCCCGAGCTTAAATTTATAAACTACTGCGGGTTTTATTTAACGGAAGGACTTACAGCTAGAAACCATTTTAAATTACAGATAATCCTCGCTTGCATACACAACTCTGATAAGTCGCTTGAAAGCCCTTGCTTTATATAAGAAAATTTAAATCAAAGTGGTAAAATTTGACATTTCATTTAAGGAGAAAACTGTCGGTAGAAAATTTCATGAGTTGTATAATATGTGCCCTAGGAAAGAAAATATCTTGCCTGCTGGTCTACGTAGATGCGTTTCGAAAACTGAAGAGTGCCAAAATCACTAATTTGTGTGGTGCATTTAACTAAAGGACTTACGCTTGCAACTCAGTTCTTTGGAACTCATCACATTTTATTGTAAAGTACCTTAAAAAAAAAAAAGAGGAGATATGACAATTTCTCGGTAAAAGCTTACTGGAATTCATATAATTCAATATAGAGGATTCTCAACAAAAATACTTATCACACCAAATACCAGAGAAACTTAAATTAAGCTTAAGAACATTATTGTTTCATCAGGATACCAATGTTTAATTTATTTATTAACTATTTTGTAAAATTCAATAGAAAGAGCAACATCTTCAGCCAATCGATCAAAAATATTTTTAATAGATAACCATTGTAATAAAGTCGTAAAATAGGATAAATAATAATTTATTATATATTTCTTTTTTCACAATCAGCTTACAATAACAGATATTATATTTATTTTTAAATACTTAAAATATCCAATTTAGTATAGAACAATCAATTGTTAATATTTCACTATAACACACCATTTTTATCATTTGAAAAAAAAATCAGATAACAAATAATTTAAATGTATTGTGTGGTCAGTTTATGAGAATACATTTCAGTTTCGCTACATTTTATTATAACCTACAGAATGCATCGACATACACAGTATAAGTTTTCTTTGGACAGTATCAACATTTGTATAAAAATATAGTTAATTCGATGAATAACTTACATAATCAGTCATCTCGAATTCAGTTTTAGGTCAATACACACTGCACATTCTGAGTCCAATTCAAGTGGCATGTCCTTCCGCTAAGTAAACCCCACGAATTCAGTGAATTTGCGGGTGTCGGTTTTTAAATTGCAACCGATTTATGAGGTCAGTCGGTATCGCAGAATCTACGGCTTTCGGGCTGAAGTGGTTGGTATGCTTTCGATTCATTTTCATCTAATCTATCCAATGAGATCATTTTTGTCCATAAGGTTTTTCGTTGAATAGCTTCAACTGAAATTAAAAATTTCATGTCAGTTTTAAAATTACAACGATTAATGTCGTCAGTCATCTCGCATTCTATTTTAGATTGGTTTGTTGCGTATTTTGAGCCCAGTTCCAAGCGTAAGTCTTTTAGTTAAATTCACCCAACAAATATGGGGTATTTGGTGGCATCAGATTTTAAATTGCAACAGACTTGAGTGCTCAATTGGCATCACTAGCGGATCCAGGATTTAATTTTGGGAGGGCTTCAGCCCAAAAGCTTTTTTTTTCATATACGTAACGATAATTATTTTGAAAAAAAAAGAAAGATACTAACTACCTCAATGAAATGGTGTTTATGCGATTCTTGAAGTCCTATTAAATGTAATTACACGAACAATAATACTTTAAGAGATAATTTTTTAATATTTTTGTCCTTAAAACATGATTCCATTTTACCATTTTGGGGGCTTCGGCCTGAAAGTCTACTCCTCCTCCCACATAAATCCGCCTTTGGTTGGCATGCATTCGCTTCATTTCTGTATTATATATCGAAGGAAATTACTTTCAGCCGTAAGGTTCTTGGTTGAAATATTTTAACCCATGTTCACAAAATCAAGTAAGTTTTAAATTTGCAACAACTTACGTCAGTCATCTCAAATTCTATTTAGATTGGTTCGCTGCGCATTTTGAGGCCAGTTCCAAGCGTAAGTATTTTAGTTAAATGCACCGCACAAATTAGTGACTCTACGTTGACCGGCAGTCAAGATATTTTCTTTCTTAGGGCCACATATTATATATCTCATCAAATTTCCAGCTGTCAGTTTTCTCGTTAAATGAAACGCACAATTTCGCCACTTTGATTTAAATTTTCTTATATAAAGCAACAGCTTTCAAGCGACTAACCGAAGTTGTGTATTCAGGCGAGGATTATCTATAGTTTAAAATGGTTTCTATTTGTGAATCCTTCCATTAAATGAAACCGGTGGTAGCTCCTAGTCTATTAATTTAAGAGTTGAATTTCTAATTCTTTTAAGTTTTATAATTTCACTTTATACACTAAATCATGGTACATGCCCACAGGTTTTCTTCAACAA